ATGAGTGCACTGTTTGAGCGGTCCACAAAAGCACCAGCTGTGGTACTTTATCATAATTATTCCGTTGTCGGCATTCTGCACAAAGAAGAAATAAATAACTTAAAAATGACAATCTTGACCTGAAAAAAAAAACACATACGTACCGGTATATTAAACAGCCTCGAATGAATGAATTTTTCAGCTGTGATGCAGGGATGTACATGTGTATATGAAAGTAATTACTTTGTTTTTCTTTTCCGAATCTTTGAACAAGATGAGAATATTTAAAAGTGCCTTCATTTCATCATTCCTGAATAAATATCTGTCGCTTGCAATGTACATTCGTTGTATTTTTTTTTTATTTCACTGATTTTAGGCCTGAGATTTTTCAGTTCCTGACGAACAGACACACCCCCCCCCCCCTTTAAAAAAATCACTGTTTTTCAGAATCACCTTTTTAAAGGTCATATAACATTTGCTTTTGCTGCAATTTTTAGAAATGGATGAATTTTGGGGTTAGCATTTTATAGCGAATACTGTTACACCGACATGTTTAAAGTTTCGTGTTCGTAGATGCTGGGAAAAACCGAGAGAAAAAATGCTGTTCTGGTAGTCTGGTTCCCTGACCCTACTTCAGACGAAACGGAGTAATTTACAGATGTCGCGGAATTGCCAGGTCAGGGAACCAGACTAAAACTGGCTTGCACCCATTCACGGATGTGTAACCGATTGCAAACAAAATGTGGACTATATTTGGTAAATTGGGGGCAGTGTTTAAAAAAAAAAATCAGTTTTTTCCACTGACCATCATTGGAAATTGATACACACATTCCACTTTACTTGAAAATGATAGCACACCAGGTGCCATGATTTCACAGGATGCTCGAGATAGTATTAGTGATCACTTACAGTCAAGTTTAAGGTATTTCATAATAGTAATTTTATCTTTTGATGTTTGCAAATGTATAAGATCCTGACGAAGAGACAAAACAACCCCCGTCCCCCTCTACAAAAAAAGAAAGAAAAAGAATCACTGCTATTTAATGTTCAAAAGAAACGAAAGATGTCCTTGACACACCACACATTTCCCTGGCCCTGCTTTATGGAGAGAAGTTCTATCCTTCTGACCTTTCCAGCATAGGCCGCTGGCAAACGCTGTCAAAACATTGCAGTAATTTATGGGATATTGTGGCTGGCTTCCCATTTCCACTGTTCAGTTTTGTCCACAGAGTGTTAGGCAAGCATTGACCTTTGCCCTCAGCCGACCTTTGAACTCCGGCGGGTGGCTAGGTAAACCTCTCTCGTGTCTTTCTTCAGACAGCACGGTGTAAAAGGGTTCAGGCAAAGTTCTCACGTGTGATTAATTATGATAAAGGAAGCATTAAAAAACGTTTGCGATGATTTTGTCCATTAGATTCACAATGATAAGTTTTGTAGAATTTGGTATGTTTGACTGAATTTATCTCATTTTGCTACATGTTTAGGTGAAAAAAAGAAGTTTTGTTTATTTTTCTAAAGTAACCTGACCTACCAAGATTTTTTAGGTTAAATTGCCGACCTCAAACTTTTTTATTGCCACATTTGGCCAGAAATTTTGAATGCCGTATATTTTGAGAAAAAAAGTTTTCCCTATGGAAGTTTTTTGTTTGTGCGCTAAATTGTCAAAGAGTTAAACAGGTTAATTAAACAGAAGACTGTCGCAGGTGCGATAGACAGACAAACATAAATATAATTACAAAATAACCTTAGTTTCCGAACTACCTACCTGGATAATTTTACAGTTTTTCCTTCAGCCTTAGAAGTTCAATAAATACCCGGTACATGTAAGTTAATAATATTTATGAACATAATATTTCCTTAACATTTAACCAAGTTTTCAATTTAAATATTTGCTCACTTTTAGAAAGAAAAAAAAACTTATACAATACACCTGCAGAAACCATACATTTAAATTGTTGTTGGGCGCTCTCCCAATGATCACGTACACAGGTATTTACCATTGAAAATACTTGCAATCAGTCATCAGAAATTCCGAGTACAGCTTTTTTTCTTACATTCTTTTCCCATTCACAAAGTGCCTGTATAAGAAACCCCAACAAAAACCGTCCCTCCTTGGACAATGGGCGCATTTAATGAGGTTGGCACTGTGTAGTGCCTCCTGAGTCTGGCCGGTCCATGGCTTGTCCATTGTGCCAGGCCATGTCCATCAGGGGGAAGCATTTCTATGGGCTTGATTGATCTGAGATTAAAGGGGGTAGCTTAGGGATTTCTCCAAAACTGGTGTGGAGTTTATGTTTGCCTTGCTTCTTTGGAGTTGTTGTGGCGTGTCTGTGAGGGACCATCTTGACTTGGGATGGTATTTTTTTTTTGGGGGGGGGGGGTTGTGTGGATTATTTTTCCTCAATTAACATGTGATTCTTTTAGAAAAGGTATCATCAAAATAAAGTGAAACATGTTTGTTTCATGTACAAGTAAACGACTCAAATTGTCGAAAATAAACTTTGAACAAAGAAAAATTGACTGGAGCAGGGATTGAACCAGACAGGGCTCTGGAGTGCTCTGAAACGTGCAAAACTAAATCAGGCCCACTTTACTCACAGTTTAGCCAGCAAATTTCTCCAAACATTCCACTGGGGCAAAGAAAATGTCCTCAGTATTTCACCTACCAAGTTTGCAGACTCAATTCAATTTTTAAAGGAGACATTTCTTCAATATTTTACACATGAGAGGGAAGTCAACAGATTTCAAAATGGGGCTAAATACTAGACTGGTACATGTCCAACCATGGTCCAACTATTTGAAAAGACTGACCTCTTCATTCAGTGTCAATAGTCTGGTGGCTTGACTATGGAGAAATGTGTAGTAAATTGAGACTAGTTCCCGCTTCATGCCACATGTTTCTTAAATTCTTTTGGCATGGTTGATTGATGCAGTACTGAAGCTGTGTTGGACTGGTTGTTTTAGGTGCCAGTCTATTTTCTTGTTTTGCATGTATTCAATACCTTAAAGGGAAAATACAACATTTGCAAACATCAAAAAATAAAACTACCAAATCATTTTGAAATACCTTGCTGGACTGTTAGTGAATGACAGTGTAAAGCATCCTGTAAAATCATGGCACCTGGTATACTGTCATTTTCAAGAAAAGTGGTATTTTTGTATCAATTTCCAACGCTGATCGGCCGATCAGCGTTGGAAAAAACTGGCTTTTTTTCTCAAATACTGGCCCCAATTGACCATCGCGCTTGTTTGCAATTGATTACACACCTATGAACGGGTACAAGCCAGCTAGACTGGTTCCCTGACCTTACAATTCCCCAATATATGTAAACTGCTCTGTTTCTTCTTAAATGGAGTCAGGGAACCAGACTACAGGAAAATGATTGTTTTTCTTGGTTTTTATAGCATTTTCGAACCCAAAACCTCAAAAAAGTCAGTGTAACTATATTTGCTATATATTTCCAACCCCCCAATTCCATCCATTTCTGAAAATTACAGCAAAAGCAAATGATGTATATTCCCTTTAAGTTTTGGGACTCTCATACACAGTATTGAGAGTCCCAAATTTTCGGACTAGGTTTGAACCTCCGATCTCTGGAATGTCGTACCGGTGCTCTACCAACTAAGCTATCCAGTCCTTTTTCACTATAAAAAAAATATATAGTTACTGAAATGAGTGCATTAAAGTTTATAAAACTCATCATGTGATTTATAACCAGAGGTAAAAAAAAAATAAAAGAGTTCTGGAGTTTGTATCTGGGAGTCATTGTACACGAAATATCAAGCCATCATATTTTATTCCCCAAGAAATGATCAAGCAATGCCGGCATGTCAATGTCTGGATTTTTTTTCTTGCGTGTTCAATGCACATTATATTTTAGACTAGATTTTTAAACAAATCACCAATTATCTGTTGTGGATGCTTCCAAATTTCAAAAAGGTCAAATTTCTTTGAAATGTTAGAATTTTTTTTTCTTGAAATTTTCTGCAAGACCTCGTATCAGGGTGTTGATAATTTCATTATGAAAGATAAAAATCAGAAGAGAGTTCCAAGATCCCCAGAACTGCGCGTCGAGGTCGCAGAACTGTTCATAAGTCATCTGCCCCATATTCCTGTCTTCCCTTTGAGTTAAGAACCCGCCAAGTGTGAAATTGCTCTCTCAATTATATTAGCAGAGCTGTGGGTAATTTGTTTCAGTGGTGGCTTTATTTCTAAACCAGCCGCTCTGTGCGTATAGTAAATAGAGCGTGCCGCGATGTCACACATTAAACTGTCATTGGGGGGGGGGGGGAGAGACCAGAGGCATTGACTCTCAGGTGGGATAGCATTTGGTGTGTATGACGTCAATGCGGGATCTAGGCATATTTTTTCATTGAATTGTGAGGGGTTTTATAATGAGAAGCGACAATTAAGTCAGCCTTGAGATTTCTCAGGCCTGTCTGTGAACGGGGATTGTTTTGGTTGGGGAAACTGAATGCCTTTGTTTACTGGTTTGTGAAGCTGCAGGTTTTTTTGTGTGATTGGTCTGTACTGTTGTCATGGCAACCTTTAGTATGTGTATGCAGCTGTACTTTACCACTGCTGTAATTTTTGTTCAGAGATTTAATTAAGGCTCTGTCAAAAAGACTTTTTGTCATCCATTTGTAGAAATTTTAGACAGAAAGTGTACGTGCTGCTTTCATTTTCAATTTTTGTGTACGTGCAAAATTATACAATCTCATGAAGGAGCTCCTCAAGCACCCTGAAAAATATTCCACCAGAATTTGCACAAAAAAAAAGTAAACAGCTCAATAGTTATTATTTTTTGAAGAAGAGAGGTTTTAAGACAATCATGTACAAACAATATCATGCTTGCCTTCACCACAGTAGTGGTTTGACATTTTTATTTAAGCAGCAATTAATATTAAAGTTTCACTTTTCAAAATGTGTCTTCAAAAGCTGCTCTACGTTTACTATGTACTTTGTTTAAAACCTCTCACCCGGTGTCTGATTGTTGTTTGTTCATCATTTCTGTCTGTAGCTCGTCCCGGCCGACAGCAGCACAGGAGCGCCATCGGACACGGGGTCGCAATGCCAAAGCGAAGCACCCTCAGACATGCAGCCACCCATGGAACGGACGGGCGGCATCGGCGACTCGCGACCGCCTTCTTTCCAGTAAGTAAAATCCTCAACGCTAGTGACGAGTTTGAAGAGTGGACCTGGGACGTGCATGTGGGAAGGTTTACCCGCTCCGCAAACCCTCCGTCGCTTTAAGGACTCTGTTTGTGGACGGCGAAATACTTTCCTGGCCTGCCACTCCTGTGATGTGGGTTCGAATCCCGCCTGGGCCAAAACTATGGATTGAGTTTTTCAATTCCCCATTTTAATGGGTTCCCCGAAAATCTCAATTTAACAATTTAAATGACTTCGTGCCCAGTCTTTAATGGTGCATATTTCATCCGTGACAAATTCCACAAGACTTGTTTTTATGACTTCTGAATGAACTCCTGCACAGCCTTGGCAGAAACACTAGGTTGTTTGTTGTGCGGTTGGTCGTAAACAGCGGGGACCTGTGTCTAATTGACTCAACGATAACAGCCCAAGATCTGACATTAATTGGTTTTTGTTCACATTGACAACCCCAGGCAGTGGAGTATGGCTGGGTCAGGCTTCCACAGGCCATGCACAGGCGCATGTGAAATAGCAAGCCATAGTCACGTAATTTGAAATGTTGCATGCAAAAGAGAATACAGCAGTGAGGCTAGGGCTCAGGTATAGCTCCTTGACTCTTGTCAGTGCCATAGACTGCTTTCACTTGCACGACACCATTCTGATGGCTGTCATTATTGCACTGAGTGAGAGTCCTTAACCCTAACATTCCTCAATCCTCCAAAATCTTTCAGGCGGTTTTGGAGGATTGAGGAGGATTGAGGCTGATTCTGGAGGATGCGTTGTGTCGGGTTCGTAGGCTGTGTGCCCTGCATTGTTTAAGTTCAGCCATGCATAATTGAGCCCTGCATTATGCTCAATATCATCTGCGCTGCTTTTGATTGAATGTCATCGGCACTGTCTCAACCGAACCCAGTGCTTGTTGGAGGATTTTGAACGATTGAGGCAAAGGTCACCCCTCCACTGAACAAATTCAAGAAATAGGCCTAACGGATGATTTTGGAGGATTGAGGCTGCATCCAATTTTTACATGGTGGCACTGGCAATTGGAGGATTTTGCAGGATTCAGGATGATTCCTAGCCAAAAGGGCCTAGGGGTTAGGCTTAATTCTGCATTTTTCATGAATTCAGAATCACACTATATTAGTAACTGAAGGAACTGTTTAAATTTTTGGCCAAATCAAATCTGGTAGCAAGAAATTTGGTTACTTTCTCAATATTCATACAACTTTACAAGTGCTCTCAGCAGACGAAATGCAACACGTGACAGAGACCGACATTATCGACAATCATTGCAATTTCTTCATAATTCACCACATTCGTATCACTGAGAAAGGACATGAGTGCATTGGTGTGCAGTAAAACTTTGTTTAGTTTTCACCACGGAGCTCCATGCATGTACACTCTCTGCAAGCAGCCTGTCCTTCAAGGACCTTGCGAGTTGAGTAGGCCACACAGTTTTCCTTGCCATTTTTGTACATCGAATCTGGAACTAGAAGCAGTTGATGAGATACATTTGGGTTTAATATTGGGCAGGGTTTCTGTTTATAGGGTGTTATGTTGTGACAGGCCCATCAAAGCCACCTCAGGCACGCCTAATGACCATCTTGGGATCGGACAGCTGGTTTGGTAGACATTGGGGAATGTTTCTTGAGGTAGCAACTGGACTCCTAATATAAAGTCTTCTTTCTAGCGGAAAGTATGGATTGTGACAGCACGGCCTTGTCTTGGACTATCAAAGATGTCCATAATACAGCTGTGTTAGTCTACTACATGTACCAGTAGATACAGTTATCATAGAGGTAGCACTTTAACCTTAACTCCGGCATTTTTGCAAGGATGCAACCTCAATCCTGTGAAATCCTCCAACTGCCTCCATGTAAAAATTGCATATACAGCCTCAATCCTGCAAAATTATCCATTTTTTCGTAAATGTGGTCCCTGGAGGGGTGACCACTGCCTCAATCCTGCAAAATCCTCCAGCAACCACTGCCAATATGTTGAGGCAGAGCCAGTGACATCCTGGAGCAGTGTGGAGGATTTCAAGAATTCCACGTAATGTCCTCTTCTTTTGGCAGTCTATTTAAAATATCCTAACTCTTGATTATTATTCAGCAGTGCATGTTGATTTCATGTTCAAAATCCCCATTTCAAGGTACCAGCAGATTTGATTTTAAGGGGTCTTTAATATACATGAAGCTTCAAGTAGGGCACATTCCACAGAAATTCAGCACAAGCTATTCTGTTGAATGCAGGCCGGATGTGTTCTGGAATTTTCATTTCGGTGATCGCAGTGTTTATTTAAATTTGTATCTGACTTGAAGGCTCTTCGGATTTTGTTTGGAGTAATTTAAGATGAGACTCTACAGCATAACACCTGGCTTGAGTGGAGAGATAGTCTTCAAGATTTAAGTGATCGTTTTTAAAAATAAATCAGGAAATTTTTAATTCTTTTTGCATTGACTGAGGAAAACTGTTAAAATTATACCATCTGTTCCCTTGAAATGTGTCATCCTGAAAAATGCATTTTCGAATTGATTAATTTTCTTTAAATGGAAAAAAAAAATTATTTGAGACCATGGATGTGTATCTACAACATGTGGCTCCAACACAAAGTGCAAAGGTGTGAAATCTCAGCTTTTTTAGCTGATTTCAGCTTTTTTGTTTTGGATTTCAGCTTTTTCCCCTCACTTGCTGTGTAAAAAAGTATAGGAGATCTCCAAAATTCAGCTTTTTTACACCTTTTCCAGCTGTTTTCAGCTATTTTTTATCAGTGGTCACTCACACGGGTCCCTGAAAGTGCTAGATGAAGAATGAGCTAATATGTAAGCCGTAGAGTACATTTCACAATAGATCGTCGCTAGTATTAAGCACGCTGTCCGGCTCCTAATCATATGTAGCGGATTTAGACAATTATTGGCCAATCTAGGTCACACAGGTGACCCCTTGGGGGTTTCGGTATTGTAGGGGCCGCCCAGAGACCCCAATCACAGAAATGCCCTAAACTACTATTCTTTTCCTTTTCTGGCTGCCAGTTTCTGGATTTTTTTCCCTTCAAAAGTGAATTGTAAGGTTTTTGGTAATTTGAAACTGTTCTAGGTATTGGGTATTTTCCTTAGGGAGTTCGCCGGAGTTGTTTTCCCTTTTAAGTCTGTAATACCAGAACGTTTATAAATTTTGGCCGTATGAAAATAAAACTTTGTTTCCTCTTTTGGTTTACTTTTAATGGTGCAGGGCCAAGTGAGTGGGGTTTTTTTTGGGGGGGGGGAGCTGGTATGTGTTCCAAATAAAAAATTTGATTCTTTACAAAATATATATTTTCAATACTTCCAATTTGTGAGGTATTGTACAGTATACTGGTACATGCATGTGAAAAAGAAAAAAAAATAGAAATGAAAAATTCAAAACCTTGAACATATAGATTCTTTTTGGTAAATTCCTTGGAATGATTACAATATTCCAGTTCTAATATTTTTTTCATGAGATCACTGTTCAAATACTGTATTCCTTTCTCTCCCATTCTGTGATTGCTAAGTACAATATAAATCGCGACACAAAAAACAAGACCTGAATTGCAAATTTAAAAAGAAATCAGTTGTCAAGACAGCAGCGCGCGCATAAATGCTTCAGGTTGCCACCTTCAGTATGATAATTCACCTTTTACAACGGCAGGCAGTCAATTATATACCAGTCCCTAGCTCGGTTGATATGTCACCAGGACGGCTGTACACATCCAATATGTATCAAAACCCTGTACAACCTCATCATCACGCACTTTGCTCCCCCCCCCCCCCCCACCACAACGCGCCTGTGAGCTACATTGGCGTTGAGAAAACAGTGGAGTAATTTCCAATTATGCGAGCGGTTAACAGGTGACTCATGCAAAAGGCCGTGGGTGACCTCGCCACTCTGGGCCCCACGGAATGACAGCTTCTTGTCTGGCAGGCTGCTAGGTTTCTTTTCAAGTGCCTGATTTTATTTCCCAAGAAATTATCAGGTTTTGCTCATCACTGATGTGTATTTTATAACACTGTACATGTATGTACTCGGTCTTATCTGAGGGCTTGTGAGAATGAATTCACAAGCGTATTCGGGTGGGATTCGAACCCAGGACCTCCTGCTTACTAGTGAAGACGTCTTACCACTCAACCACTGAGCTTGCCTGGGTTGGCTGGCTGGTTCGAATCTGATAACAGCGAGTACCACAACCAAACTATTTTATGAGAAAAAAATCCATCACGTAAATTTTTTTTCAGCAAGTCTGCAGTTTTTGGTATCAGTTACAATATTTGTTTTTCTGCTAGATAGTTTACACGTTCCTATATTTTGTCATAGTCTTGAAATTGATATGAACAGTTCTATTGGTGCTCATTTGTTTCACACATGAATGGATGTGCCACAAAATGGACTCACTGTGCATTAAGTGACAATATTTTTGGAAGGAGTTTTTTTCAGTCAACATTTTATATCAAGTGTATTACATTGTATCATGTAGCAAGTACCATATTATAAATGTATTTAATACATTGTGTACAAAAAGCAATATCAGCATCCACTAATTCAACAACAGCCATGTTCTGGATGTTCTGCGATGGCACCAGGCGCATGGAGTGGCACTCAGGTAGTACGCAAGCACTCCGGGCTCCTTCGATCAATTGTGTTACCAAAATGCGCACGCACATTGTCTTTAAAGATTTAGTCCATCATTTGTAATTTGTGCATTTTGTTCGTTTGAAGCAACAAAAGTGTTCAAAATCTAATGAAGGATACTGAACAACTAACCTGATGAAGTTTCAGCTCAGCTTCAGCTGTATATTCCGAGAAAAACAGCATTCTAGGATCTCAATTTCAAATCAAAAGTTGCTGAATCATGTTTTGAATTGTTTTGAATTGCAGCTATACGTGATGTCGTTCACTGATCCGACGAATTATAGCAACCGCACGCGCCTGTGCGTCGTGCCAATGCTTGCGCGCGCTGCGCCGAATAACAAAACGAACTACTAATT